GTACAATGTCTCGCATTCGCTCGAGCACTACACCACTAACGTCTTCTAAAAATTTCGCGACTCGATATAGTCCACATTGATCACCGCACCAGTCAATATACGGTTTCAAATTTCGTATCGATTTCCGCCAAATGAGAGATCCAGTGTCTACTCGCGTACTCACCACCAACGTGCACGAAACGTCTTTCTAGTTGTACTTTTGCACTCGCGAGTCGCGCGATCCTCGCCACCACAGATTGTCTATTTGCAACGGTGAGTCGAGGACGTTTAACACGGTTAAGTTCCTCGAGTTGTTCGACGCACTCGTCACAGCGTTGCAACCACGCGAAACACTCCACCAAGGTAGCGACTTGGCTGCACTGCTTCAGCAGCTCGCGTTCCACTCGCTCTAGGTGTTCCATATTGCGAAATCTTGATTCTTTTAAATTGTTGTACTGTCTCATCAAAACAATTTTACATTTTTTTACTTTCTTTTTTTTCTTTTCTCTATAGCCGCTTTAACTCGAAGCCAGTATATAAAGCGTTGTATTTCCGACATGTCCGGAGATTGATGGGAATAGAACAAGATGCTCCACCGAAATACTGTGGAAATTAAATATATAATATTGCACAATATTGGAAAAAAGAGAAAAAATAAAAAAATGCAGTTGAAACTTACGCGTTACATTCCTTCTTTTGTTTTTCGCCATTGTACGGTGCGCTGCTTCCTTTGGCGGAATACATTGCGTGTTGTTCGAATGATGGAGGAGCGGAGACCTTTTTTATCGTGCAGATCGTTCGATGGAGGAGGACTGATCGCGAAATTTTTTGACGTGGCAAACCGTTAACCTTTCCCCTTTTTTCTAGGAATTTCATTGTTGCAATCAACATGTAGCGACATGTTCGCAAAGGAACGCGATGACGTTCAAATTTATTTTTAGGAAGAACTCGCGAAAAGATAGCTCTTCGTAGAAATCGACGTACGTGTCGCGGCGTGTCAAGAGAAGCGTCGATACTCCGGCTGCTATAAACAAATTGGGAGACC